ACAAGCCTGAACGTGCAGGCTGTCGACCGGCTGTGTAGAAAGTCAGTCCCTCATACTTATATATTAAAGGGAGGGTCGCGCACAAAAAAGTGGTCGTATTCTGGTCCTTTTCCACTGACGAGTCGGGTAGAAAGGGCTGATAAACTGGGCCGGAAATTTTGGTCTGAATCTGAATACATTCGCAGAATTTTCTGTTTGGACACCAACCTGAACCACATCATCGCATTCTGAGTCTAAATTCGACCTGAGCCTGACAGAATCCGGCCCAAACCGGACGAGGCCCAGACCACATCATCACATTTAAATTACAAAACGAATTTCTGTCCGAAGCTGACCCGAACCGGCCCATCGTTACCCAAAGTCCAGACAGGATAGCATCGGTTACTGTCCAGTTAGAAAAGGAGCCATTTCATCATTGATAAATAAAACAAGAAAATAAGGCACTGTAATAAAATAATCAGCCAAATTTAAGTTTTTGCGATGTAAAGCATCTCCAATGTTTTAACACGGATAAAGTTTCAATACTGCGCTGTTCTCACGCTGTACGGTGCTGATATAAGGCGTGGGGCGGGGGTGGGGGGTTGGGGGGGGGTTTACAAAGCAGGACTTCTCAGTTAGCCTGATAACTTAGGCCGAAAAAACAAGCCTGTCCAATAAGAGCTAAGGAACATTCAACTGTTGGCGTAAGTTATCCAGCTCACTGAGAAATCCTGCTTTGTGAAACGCCCCCATTTAAACCCAAAACTCTATTACTACACAGATTAAATTACATATATAACATATCGAACACAAACATTAGTAACACTTTATTTGGACAGTCCACCATAGATGCTTTGTCGATACTCAGTTTATCTTTATGGAACATTCAACTAAATATCTATTAAATGCAACTGAACTTGAAGTTAAATGTGTGACCAACCAAATAAAGTGTGACCAAATATTTTTAGCCAAATAAATTAAGCATCCTTTCAGTGGACTAAACTGTGTTTTCTTGAAAGCTTTTGTCCATTTTCTCTTAAATATGGACTTTGTAGACCACTCAAGTGGATAGGAAGATGCAGGGAAATGCAGGGTGCAGGGACACATATTTGGAAAAGGACGTCTGAAGGCAACCGAACCAGTCCAGTCACCTGTGCACCTATACGGTAGGTGTTTCCAATAAAATGGCCAGTAATTGCCAACAGCAGATCATTTCGATGGCTTTTCCTTTACTTCACACTTCGTTTGCCATCATGTTTAAATGACGATGTTGTTCCGTCGAGCAAATTCCCATTATATTACAAATCCAACAAACAGAGGAGTCTAATCTGATCTGACCCGATGCTGATATTTTGAGATTTGTTGTAAATGGAAGCGTCTCGCCTCACCACCCCCCGCCACCATCCGCCTCTCTCCCCGCCTGAAAAATGACCACCATTTTGCGCTAACCCTATTAGCACGAGCTACTACGAAAAAGGCAGACGTATTTGTATTCATAATAAATTTGCTGAGATAGGGTTTCATCTTAACGACATAAGCCGAGGCCGGGGGTATCCTTCATGCCCGGCTTTAACCTCGTTTGTGGGGTTGCCTAGTGAAGGTTAACCTCCAGACATATGGGTCTCCCTCTTCCTCTTAAAGGTCCTGCCATACAGCAGGGCAGACATCATTACATCATATTAATGCCCTCCAATCACATTACAGCCTGCTTCTCATCCGTCTGCACGTCCGGCCCGGCGGATACGCGCGATGGAGACGGGCTTCGTGCCGTTTGGGCAGCGGGAGAAGACGGGGAAAGGAGAGGTGTTGAGGAGAAACAGACAGATGTTTGAGTGAGGCATATTTATTATATATGAATAAGTGTGCAGGTCCTGTAAGCATTCATCACTGCTGTGCCAAAACCTTCCAGCTCTACTCTAGTCTCTATTATCATTTCTCATTTTTGGGCAGAATTTGAAAAGCCTAGTTATCCTCTGCCTTCTGTTTAAACCTCATGATAAAGGGACCAATAGAAATGGTCTATATTACTTGGGGGGGGGTCTCGGTACATTAATTTTCATTAACAGTTAAGAAAATTTTTTTTTTCTTCCTCCTGTTAAGTTGCCATTTTTGAGGTAAATAACCAATTTGACTAGGAATAGTTGGGATCAGGTGCTATTTTAATAATAATAATAATAATAGTAGTATTTTTTATTTACATGGCACTTTTCATGCCGGTGGCAGCTCAAAGTGCTTTACAGACAGAAGATAAAGCTTAACAGTAATACAAGAAATTATAAGTATTCATTTAGAATCGTATTAGAAAATGACAGATCAAATTAAACACCAAGAGTTTAAAGTAGAGTTTTAAAGTTAAAGGGATCTGTTTTTCAATGTTTATTAAAAGTGAGTTCTGAGCTTGACTGTCTAATAAAAGGTGAACTGAGCTCCACAGTTTAGAAGCAGAATAACTGAACGAGTCTCTCCATGTTTTCTGTATTTTACAGAGGGTGTTTGTAGGTCAGTATCTGCAGATCTAAGACCATAAACAGACACTCTGTGATGTAAGTGGTGCTTTAAGGTCATTTTGAGCTTTAAAAACTAGTAGCAGAGCTTTAAAATCTATCCTAAGTGATACAGTCAGTGCAGCTCTTTTAAAACAGGACTGATCTGATCTCTCTGTGCTGTTTTTGTTAGGATGCTGATGTATTTTGTACGTGTTGTAAAGGATGTATAGTTTTCTTAGGAAGTCCAGTAAGAAGACCATTACAGTGATCAGCTCTGCTGTAACAAATGCATGAACAGGTTTCTCTGCGTCGCTCTGAGAGAGAAAAGGCTGAACTTTAGTGAGATTTCTCAAATGACACCAAACTACTATAGTGACTGTGTTTACATGCAGATAAAACAGAGCTCAGAGTCTTCAGTATATGTACTGAGTGGCCAGTTTATAAGTTATAAAGTAGGTGGTTCCAAAACGCAAACAGTAATTAACAAAACTGCTGAAAAAGGTTTATGAATCCAAGAGAAAATAATGTTAAAAAGGCAGAAAGAGCTTTTACAGTATGTATCACTGTGTTTGTTAGACCTACAGACTCTCATTAAGACTAATAACTACCACAAATTAATACTGTTAGGTCCAGTTAACTCGTATCTACACTTTTTGGCCATTTTATCAAAAATGCCAGCCAGAGGCACTGTGTAGGCTTACAGTCGCAGACTGTGGCCCATCTGTTGCTGCACAATTTATCAGCCCACTTCTCTCATTCATCAGTGGAAAAAGACCACTACAGGACCACCACTGACCAGACATGTTTACATGCAGCCTGATAATCCATTAATAATCCGACTAATAGCTCAATCAGAATAGAATAATATCCGTGTAAACGCCTGTATCTGATTACATTCCCTATCAGAAAGTTTAAGTCCGTTCTGATCGTGTTCGTCACGTCATAGTGAAAGTTTATACCGTTCAACATGGCGGAGCAGAAACTGGTCTGCAGAGGAGACGAAGTTTATGCTCTGATCTTTAAAAGACGGCGGTGGGACGGACGTCCAGCTTATGTGTCTCAGAACACGACGTCTTCCTCTCGGCCTTCTTTAATAAGGACATGTGAAGGACGTTTTCCTGAGTCTGACATCATTTTGAAGCAGTTAAAAACACAAGCACTGCTCACTGCTGCTCATCTCACTCTGACTGGACTCACGGGATGCTGGTTGTCATGGTAACGTCTACACTAAGCGGTTCTCTACACATTTTGGATCTGATTACTTGTAGTGAGCATGTAAACGGAGATTTTCATCAGATTGTTGAGTAGAGTGAGAATAAACACCTCAGTCTTAATCTGTAATCGGAATGTATTCAAGATGATTGGCAAAAATATCTGAATCTAAACGGAGACACTGTCTAAAAACACAATATAAGATTAAAATAAAGACAAACATAAAAACATGAACATAAATACATAGAGGGATGTGCTTTTGTTTAAAATTGGTGAAAACACCCTCGGATGTTCTCTCGCTTTCATATAACAGTATATAACATATAACTGTAAAATGGGAGGAAAAAGTAAAGAAGGCAGTCTGTGTTTGGCTGCCTCTGCTTTATATCTTGACCCCTAGTTGCTGTGTTTGGTTTAATGCCCAAAGATTCTACTATCTCAGCTGCTAATTCCAATGTCCTTGGTTTTTTCACCCTTTTAGCGACGCCTTATTTTAATTCAGTGGAAAAGTCCCACTCCACCTCATTTGGACGCTGGCTTAAAGATGTTGCCTCCTTTCTCTACTTGGAAAAAATGAGACACACACTTTAAGGTGATGCACATCAATCTCTTCGCATAAGTGGCCCCTTTTCCTCTTTCTTCTCTGAGATCAGGCAGTGTGACGTTCCCAGTATATCACAGTAATTACAAGGTTTTTTTTTTTACTTTTCAATTTTTTTCATTTACCTATACATTTTATATATGATATGAAATATATATATATATATATATATATATATATATATATATATATATATATATATATATATATATACACACACACACACACACACACATTCAGTTTTTGACATAATTTGAAAATGCCTGTTACTCTTTACATTGTGTGTAAATTTCATGATGAATGGACCAAAGGAAATGACCCAAAATTACTTGGGGGGGGGGGAGTCTGGTTCCATTGACTTACATTAAAAGTAAAGTATGTTTTTTCCTTCTCCTGTGAAGTTACCATTGTGGATATACAAGGTTTTCTTCTGACAACAGTGGGATACACACACACACACACACACACACACACACACACACATATATATATATATATATATAAAATTGTTGGGAATAGCAAAATTTATGCATGTATCTTGTTTCTGCTTTGCCCTTTACCCAATAAACAGAATAGTCAACAAAAAGAAAAGTAAAGAAGACCTGAATATTATTTCAGATGTGCTATAATGTTGGCAGGTGTGTGTGTGTGTGTGTGTGTGTGTGTGTGTGTGAACTGCTATAAGTGTGCATGTTGGGGAGTGAGAATATCAGTGCTCTCAC